GCCGGGCCTCCATGACTGTGTGAGGCTGATGCCACCGGGTGCAGCTGGGGGGGATGGGGGCTGGGGATGAGGAGCAGGAGCAGGGCCTCCCACCCACCAGGAGCTGGCCTGAGCTGAGCTGGCCCCAGCGTGGGCACACGTCATGGGGACTCCAGGAGGAGATCTGGCAGGACTGAGGCCACATTGCCCCCTCTGTCCTGGTATAAGGCTCTCCCTGTCCTGTGTCCCGGGGCCTCAGGCCTGGAAGATCTTCCTGTCCTGCACCACAGCCGCCTCCACATGGGAAAGGGCAGTCATCCTCACTCACACACGGGACTGTCTCTCAGGCCTTGCTCTTGGATACACGCGTGTCAGGGGCTGGGTGGGGTCTCAGTTCTCGCCTCCTGGCCCACATCTTTCCCCTGTCACCACAGATGCTCGATCTGTCAGACTGGGGATCCCAGCCACACAGTGGGCCCCCAAGGGGCAACTGCAGTGACTTGGCTCCCAGTAGAGAGTGGCCTCAGGGTGGGGCCCACAGTGGCTGCCCTGGGCTGTGCACTGTTGTTACTGTGGCTGGGGGCTCAGGCCCAGGGCCACGGCAGGAAGTGTAGTCTGAGCTGGGGGTTCCCTCACGGGGCCCACGGGGTGCTCTCAGGCAGGGCCTGGGTGCTGGCCCAGGAGAGCATTACAGGAAGTAGAGGGTACATAAGGGTGTCGGTAGTGTGCTGCAGCCTCAGGCCTGTCCTGGGGGTGCTTCCTGGCTCCTCAGCCTCCCACACAGGGAACCAATCCAAGCCACGCAATATGGAGACAGGACAGGTGCCCCAGCCAGGCTGTGCAGCTGCCCTGAGGGCTGGTTATGCTGATGCCAGCGCCATGTCCCTGAGTTGACTGAGACTGCAGCATGGGCCACGGATACACAGGAGATACCAGGTGGCGTGACTGTGATGTGCGCTACATGTTGACACATGCTGACATGTGGCAGCGACTGCCTGGTGTGCGTGGCTACATGTGACAAGGAGCTGCTCACATGACCACGTGGCCTGGCACTGCTGGCTACACCCAATGTGGGGCACCAGTTGTGTCAGGAGACGTCGTGGGCTAGTCACACATGACCCTGCCCTGCACATAGCACTTGTCCCCACAGAACACGTGGCTTGGTCACATGCCTCAATTGTGTTGATGTGAGCCTGGTCTTGGGCCACCCTTGGTGTGCTGGCTGCCCACGTGGCCATGTGTGGGGACAGAGGGGACAGCAGGGGGCGGCCGGTACCTTGGCGGGGCTGTTCCTGTCCAGGGTGCTGGCCTGGCTGGTGGCAGGCCCTGCGCCCACCAGCGTGTGGCAGCTGGAATTGGAAAAGCCCGGGGTGTGGCTGCTACTTTGAGACAAATCTGGGGAGAGAACAAGGCGCCACACACCATCACCACATGCCCTGGCACGATGTCCAACAGCGGCGCTTGGACCTGGCAGTCCCGAGAGCCCTTCAGAGGCTGTGGGCCCCTCCCTTGCCTCCTGGTGCCCCGGAACCTGGAGAGTCCAGCCAACTCCTGCCCCAGGTGGCCCCTGCAGCGTGTGGGACATGGCAGGCTCACTGCTGTCAGTGGCGCCATCAGCTGTGACAGCCCACAGTCCCTGCATCCTGTTTGGGCTGGCCCACCACCCTCTCCTGCTTCACCCTGGGTCTGAGCCCAGTGATGTGTTCGTAAGGAGAACCCTTCCTCCTGGCCCAGCCCTGCCCTCCTAAGATTCCAGAACCCCCCACAGGCCGGGGAGTTCCAGAGGAATGGCCTTGAAAACCCCCAATCTCCGCATGGGCTGGGGTTTCCTTGGGATGTGCTGGGAGCAGGTGGGCCTGGGTCACCCTCCTGTCTTGCCGCCATGCTTGCAGGAGGGAGCTAGAGAGTTTGGGCTTCCCAGGCACGAGGCTACCAGCTCAGGTGGACAGAGCCGCCACCCTGCACCCCTGCACCCGGCCAGCCTCCCATGCCAGGGCCACAGATAGCTTTGGGCACTCAGTCTCCACTGCTGGCTTAATGGGACATGTGAAACCTTTCTTGTCTTCAAGGTGGCACTTCAGGGCCAGACACATCTGGCCACAGCCCCACCCCGACACCCTGCAGAGCGCCAGGTCAGCCCCATGTCCACAGGTCAGCAGGTTGACAGGCTCCACACCCCTGCCCAGGTCGTGGGAGGCGTGCAGAGCTCTTCGGTTGGGATCCCTCCCCACTGCACCAACAACCCCTTGCCCAGAGTAGGTGGGGCTGCCCCCAACCTTCACAGGAAGAGGTGGGTGTGGCCCGGGCGCAGCAGAGGTTGGGCCTCCAAGGTGACAGGTCCCACTAGGATGCACCCCTGAGGAGCTGGGGGTTTCTGCTCGGGCCATGCCCCAAGGCCAAGGACAGGGATGTTCTGGGGAGGAGGAGGAGGTTGCTTGACTGGGGGGGTCAGGAAATGCCATTCCTGGAGCCCAGACCCTCCCCAGGGTCTCCCCCATCACTCGGGCTCTGCCTCCTGCACCAGCCCTGCAGCCCATAGCTCACCGCCCTGCAGCCCTCGCCGCATGTCCCGGGCCTTACCTGAGAGGGAGTAGTCGGTGCTGCTCAGCCTTAAGGCTGGTGTGTAGGCCACGCGGGGTGCCAGGTCGCGGCCTTTCTCTTTTTGTCGGCGCCGGCGCCAGGCGAACAAGCCCAACAGCAGCAGCAGGAGAAGCAGCAGAAGGACAATGCCGGTGACGGCGCCTACTGAATGCCGCTCCGCACCCAGGGCCGGGCTGATCTTGGTGTAGGGGTTCAGCTCCCCCATCGTGAGGGCGGCTGCAGGCAGAGCGGGGCCTTAGCTGGCTGGGCCTTCACCCTGGGCCTTGTCATCAAGCCCTGTGAGGCAGCCCTCACCCTGCCTCAGTCTCTCCAACTGTCACAAGGGAATGGAGCCCAGGGTCATGGCACTTCACTGGTGTGAAGCAGAATCACACTGATGTTGACGGAGTGTTTTATTCTGATTTAAAGGTGAATTTGCTAGCCGGGCACAATGGCTTACACCTGTCATCCCAGCATTTTGGGAGGCCAAGGCAGGAGGATTGCTCGCACCTCAGGATTCAAGACCAGCCTGGGCAACATAGTGAGACTTCGTCTCTACACAAAGTTAAACAATTAGCCCAGTGTGGTGGTGAGCACCTGCAGTCCCAGCTACTCGGGAGGCTGAGGCGGAAGGATCACCTGAGCCCAGGTGAGCCATGATCGTGCCACTGCACTCCAGCCTGGGCAACAGTGAGACCCGGACTCAAAAAAATTTTTTTAAAATTAATAAAGATGAATGATAGATGTTAACTTGCATCACTGCCCAGTAGCCCTAGGAACAGGGCCAATTATGTATTTCCCGTCCACGGATGAAGAAGGGAGGCCACTTGTCCAAGACCACATGCTGGCCACAGCAGAGTTGGGAAGAACCGGATACGGCCTGGGCCCTTGCTGGCCCATGTGACACAGGGACGAACATCCTGGCCCCCAGGACTTCATGTCATGGAAGACAGCAACTCATCTGCCTTCCCACAGCACCTGGAGTTACAGGCCCCGCAGAGGCCCCACCCTCCCGGGACACGAGCGCTGACACAAGCTTGTGGCTGCCCTAGCTTGACTGCAGAGACAGGCCAGGGATGCCTGTGGGACAGCAGAGATGCAGCCGCCTGGCCTCCGGCTTGGTCTCCCACTGCCCCTGCAGCCCGCCGGCTCCCGTGACCCTTACACAGTGGCAGAGGGATGTGCCTCTTGGGCCCCTTGGCAGAGCCCTTGCTGCCACTGCCTACCTTGGTCACACCTGATGCCCTTGAAGCCGGGGCTGCAGTAGCAGGTGCCGGTGACGTGGTCACAGGTGGCATTGTTCACACACTCGCACAGCTGCCGGCACCCATAGCCAAAGGTCCCGGGGGCACATCCTGAGTGTGCAGGGGGCAGGTGGGTGTGAGACGGCTCTGCTGGGTGTGGGGTGGGTGGAGGGGAGGGCGGGGCCCCTGCCTCCTCCCACCGCCTCCCTCTCCCCCTCATGGCTCTCACCCACTCCCCTGCACCCCCACACCGCATTGGCAGCAGCTTGAGATCCGCCTTCCCCCACACCCTCGCTGTCTCCAGCCTCTGTTCTGCCCCAGTGCACCATCCCTCCCATGGGAGTAATTCTCCAAGCACAAGTGTAGACACCACCCTCATCAGTATTCTCCTTGGAAGTCACCCCCAAGGTCAAGGGAGCAGGAGGTGCAGTGGACCTTAAGTGGTCAGGGGTCAAGGTCCAGGGAAAGGGGTGCAGTCCCTGCAGGAGTGGACCTTAGGCGGTCAGGGGTTGAGGTGAGGGGAAAGAGGTCAGTCCCTGCAGGAGTGGACCTCAAAGGGTCAGGGGTCAGAGGACACAGTCCTTGCAGGAGTGGACCTCCAGGGGTCAGGGGGCTCAGTCCCTGCAGGAGTGGACCTCGAGGGGTCAGGAGTCAGGGTTAAGGTGCTTACTCTGCTCGCAGTGCTGCCCAGTGAAGCCCGTGCGGCAGGTGCACTTGCCACTGATGTGGTCACAGCTGGCGCCATTCTGACACTGGCACACACGCCCGCAGTTCTTCCCAAAGAACGCCGCTGGGCAGCCTAGAGGACAGCGTCATCACAGGAGCCCGGTGGGGACAACCGGAGTTCCTGCCTCCCCTCTGGCTGAGCCTGGGGTGCAGATGGCAGGCCCTTGCCCAGAGCCGTGGCCACACCTGGACCCCGGGGTGAGGTGGGGAGGGGGTGCTCTTCCTGGTGGTCACAGGCCGCTCTGCCCTTGGATCCTGTCCAAGGAGGCTCTGGCCTTGGTGAATGTGGGGGCATGCCCCACCCCTGACTCTCCAGGACTTTGGCCCAGGGTTGCCCCTGCTGGGCTCCATAGCTCCCATGGGGTGGTGGGTACCAGCCTTGGGCGGGCTCCCTCCTCCCTCCCTCCTACAGTGGTGCCCTCTGGACTGCAGGTGGGCCCTGGGGGGCAGAGGCTGGGGTAGGGGTGGAGGCTGGGCAGAGGCTTACGCTGGGTGCAGAAGAGGCCGGTCCAGCCAGGGGTGCAGTGGCAAGACCCATCTTCGGCACGGCAGTGTGCCCCATTGTGGCAACTGCAGCTGTGGAAGCAGGCGGAGCCCCAGAACCCAGGCGGGCAGGCTGGGGTGCAGCACAGGAGGGGGAATGGGTGCGCATCAGAGCTGGGATGCCTGTGGGGCCCCGGCTGGCACAGTCGACTCTCAGGGCTGACCCCAGTTCCCAGGGCTCCTACCCCTGCCTGGGCCCCCAGGCTCTGGCACCACCGCCTGCCACATCTCTGGAGACGGATGTGGCCCCAGCCCTGAGGGACTCGCTGACTTGGAGTGTGTGGTGAAGGCTGGTGTTGGGTGTGGGCTGTGGTGAACCTGGACCCTTCCTCGGCGGGCTCGCCAGCTACTTTGCCTCTGGGGCCCGGGCCTGTCTCCCCATCAGGAAGGAGTATCCTTTGACCACCAATGAGGACTCTCAGGCACCAGCTGGTCTCCCCATGGGATGGAGCTCTGTGGCGCACCTCATGCCAGAAGCCCCAGGACATCAGTCATGTGGGCCACCCAAAGGGCATTCGCCTCCCCACCCCCAACCCGAGCATGCCAGCCTGCCCTGCCCTTCCCAGACACTGGACTCTCCTTGTTGTCACTATTCCTCAGAGTCAATGGCACGGACGGGTTCGTCCACATGCCAGCTCCCTAACGCCTGCAGCCATGACACCTAGGGTCAACCCCACCCGTCATTGCCAAGGCTGTAGGGTCAAAGACGAGGGAGATTCTGCTCGGAAGTGGCAGCACCAGGCAGAGGTTCTAGGCCACAAGAGTTCTCGGGGTCTGAGCCAGATGGGCATCGGAGCACACTCACCCTGCGAACAGTCGGTGCCGATCCAGCCCGGGAGGCACTGGCAGGAGCCGTCAACAGGGCTGCAGGTCCCATTGTTGGCGCAGGAGCAGAACTGGGCGCAGTCCTGCCCAAAGCGGCCCACGGCACACACTGTGGGCATAGACAGCCTGGCACCATGCCCACCATGCCCCCCAGCTCTCCCAGATGTCCCCAGGCCACACCATGACTGCCATGTTGCAGATGCGAGCCAGCCGCCCCACTCATCTCCCTTTGCACGTGACACCCCCCATCCACAGCTGCTCCTGGGAGGCTCTATTGTGACTCCTTGACAGAGAACAGGCAGAACCTTGTGACTCAGGGCTTGCGGATGGGGTGCTCGGCCAGCTGCCATGCTCTGGACCCTTGGTCCAGTGCTCCTGTGCAGCCCTGCCTGTCTGCCTCCTAGAACCACCCTTTATGGCATCACCGACCCCACAGCCACTTGGTGGGGGACAGTCAGCTGGAGGAGAGGATGGGCATGACGTGGCAGGCCTGCCTGCAGTGAATGACTGGAGGGCCGGCCCTGGAAGTCCGTCCACATCCGCCGGATTCCTCTGACCTGTTCCTCCTCGGGAAAGCACTCCTAGGCTCACAAGGCCCTCTCCACTGCTGTTTCCAACATGAGTCTCTGGAGGAGTCATCCAGGCCAGTCTCTCCATTGGTGCAGAGCCCATTCAGGACCAGATGAGTTGAGCTGAGTACCGGCCTCTTGCCCCCGCAGTGTACCCAATTGCAACCCCAACTCGCAGGTCTGCAGCACAGCTCTCTGCCCACAGCTGCGATGGCTTCCCACTGCTCGAGAGCCAAGTTTGGACCCTGGAGACCATCCTGGAAGGTCACAGCCAGCATGATTCTTGAGGAGACATGGCTTCCCGGGGCCTGGGTCCCTCCTTTGTCCTTGCAGCTCCTGGCAGTTGTCCTTCTAGCCATGCTGAGGGTGCCAGCGATGGGATCTGTGGCCACTTGGTGCCTCTTCAGGACATGATCAAAGGCGGTGGCAGGCCAGGTGGTGTCCACAGGGAGGTGGCAGGCCAGAAGGTGATGGAGGGTGGGTGGCGGGACAAGAGGTGATGGAGGGCAGGTGGCAGGACCAGGAGAGGATGGAGGGTGGGGGGTGGGGACAGAAGGTGATGGAAGGTGGGTGGTGGGACAAGAGGGCGGGTGGTGGGCCAGGAGGTGATGGAGGGCAGGTGATGGGACAGGACGTGATCAGAGATGGGTGACAGGCGAGGATGTGATCAAAGGTGGTGTGGTGGACTGGAGGTGATCGGAGACAGGTGACAGACTGGGAGATGATTGGAGGTGGCACAGTGGCCAGGAGGTGACAAAAGATGGGTGGCAGGACAGGAGGTGATGAATGTGGCATGGCGGGTCTGGACCTCCAGGACAGAGCCCAGGGCTCAGGCCTAGTTTTATTTACACAGCCAACTAGCATGTGCATAACACCATATCTCATGGCACCTGGTGCTGCTCGGGGCTGTAGACACTCCAGGAGGCTGTGCTTGGTGCCGACCCCTGGAGTGACGCTGCAGTGAGTCTTCACACAAGGTTCTGGTGCCCAGGACCCATGAGAATGACATACGATCCCACAGTCTGCTACACATGTGACAGTCTTACATCTAAAAAGGCAATGCACACGCCATAATTAAAAACACTTTATTTCTAAAATGCTGACAAACACTAAGTGAGCCCCGGGCACCAGTGGACCTGCCCTGCAGGGTGGCCACAAGCCTGCAGCTGTGACACATGACAAAGAGATCGCCACTTGCGGGCGAGCGAGACTCATGGTCGGTCGTCACTCGTGCTTGTGATGCTCCGTTATGACACGTCCCATTGTGACTCACCGTCATTAAAAAAATTACTGTTAGCCGGGCTCGGTGGCTCAGCCTGTAATCCTGTGCCTTTGGGAGGCTGAGGTGAGTGGATTGCCTGAGCCCGCGGGTTCGAGACCCGCCTGGGCAGCGAAACCTCATCTCTACAATAAATAAAAAATTCATCCGAGCGTGGTAGCGCACGCCTGTAATTCCGGCTACTTGGAAGGCTGAGGTGGAAGGATCGCCGGAGCCCAGCAGGTCAAGGCTGCGGTGGCCGGGAGCGGCCAGTGTACTCCAGTCTGGGCGACAGAGTGAGACTCCAACTCAAAAAAAAAAAAATTACTGTTATTATTTTATTAGAGATGCAGTCTCACTATGTTGCCCAAGCTGGTCTTGAACTCCTAGCCTCACAAGATCCTCCTGCCTCAGCCTCCCCAAGTGCTGAGATGACAGGTGCGAGCCACCACTCACCACTTTGCAGATGAGGAAACTGAGGCATTGAGAGGGTAAGCCACTCGCCTGAGGTCACACAGCTCGGAAGCTGCCACTCACTGGCTAAGTGCCCTTAGAGACCACACCACAGCTCTCCGTCTCTGTGTACTCATCTTTGAAGTGGGGATGGTAGCCCTTACCCGTGGTCCTTGGGCCGAGGTGAACTGCGGTGGGCAGGCAGGCTGGCGTGGGGCCCTACGTTTCCATGGCAGGTACTGGGATTGAGCCTCCCGCCTGCTGGCTGCTCAGGCCTGGCATCCTGAGAAGCAGACACCCACTGTTCCTCCCTGCCTCCGGGAGCTGGGGGTCTGGGAACCCGCCTGGCCTGTGGAGAGTGGGGGCCAGGGCTGCTCCCCTGTCCACCTAGGCGAGCCCGAGCAGCCTTTTCTCTAAAGTCTCTCTCACCCATAAGGTGCCAGATCCACCCTCGGGGCTGCTGATTTGATCACCTAATGCATTATTGGTGACTTCTTGGCTGAATCAAGATGGAGGACCGCAAAGAGCAAACATCTGGCCCTATTTAAGCTACATTAAACGATTCTGCGATGCAGTGTCTGTAATCTGTAACCTGCTGGAAAGCTGGATGTTGGAAAGTGTTGGTTCAGTTTGTCACTAGGCTTACAACTCCACCAACAGGTACTGATGAGGGAGACGCTGTTGGGTCGCGGACATCAGTCAGTCAGTCAGGCGAGCCATCCTTCTCAGTCACGGGTCCTGCCATAGGCCCAGCCTGCTGAGTGGACAGCTGGCCTCCGTGCTTGACGAGTGAACCTCGATGCACTTGGTGGTGACTAAACCATCCTGGAGGGCTGCCGCTAAGTGAGACTGTCATGTGTGCTTCCCCGGGTCTTCCCTGGGTCGTGTGAGCAGCCGACTCACTTGCAAAAATGGCCCAGCTCAGCAGCGACTGCTCAAGAAATGGGCTCCGGGAGGTGGTGACCACTCTGGCGCCAGGGCCTTCAAGCAGCGTCCAGAAGTGCTCTCCTGTGTGAACGACCTTGGATCCACTTCCAGCTCTGAGTGTGACATGGGCTAAGACACGGCTGCTCTGTCGAGGCTGAGGCGAGTTCTGTGCCTGGTGTTGAGTCCAGCGTGAAGGCCTCGCCCCACCCGCTGAGCATCCCTTGGGCCCCCCGCTGCTGGATGGTATGCCTGCCTTCTGTGTGTGGCCCCGTGGCTCCCTCCACCCAGAACGCTCTTCCTTCTCTTCTGCCTGTCAGGCCAAGGTCCTGCTCAAGTTCTGCGCTGTCTGTGGCACCTCCCTGTGTTCGTGCTGTCCAGGTCTCACAAGTTAGGTGGTGGCCCCACAAGGTGCATGGCGTGGCTACTGCCCTCTCCCTGTCCATGTGCAGGGGTTCCGTGGAGAGCACGGGACCGCCAGTACCTCGAATCAGCCATAGCAGGAATGTGTATATCATGAAATCTGCACACACACGCGCGCGCGCGCACAGGGCTGTCTCCATGGAGCTGGCGAGCAGCCAACGACCCACATCATTGCTCCCTCAGCCCCTGCGTGGTGTCGTGAAGGATTCTGAGGCTGAGGGACGCGTGACAGTGACGTGGGCCAAGCTTGGGGATGGAGGCTTGGCCAGCACCTCCAGGCCAGAGCCAGCCCCTCCACGCTCCAAGCCTTCCCTGGGCTCAGCACAGGATGTCCGGCATCCTCATCGGGTGCCAGAGTCGAGGGTGCTTCTGCCACTCTCAGCCTGTGACCATGACCACCTCGTTCCTCCATCCTGGCCCCATGGGGCTCTGCTCCCAACACATAGCCCCCTGCCCTTCTTCCTTGCTGTCCCTGGGATCCCTCCCCTGAAGGCCCACCTTGGTTGCAGAGGGCTCCAGAGAAACCGGGGAGACACTCGCAGGCACCGCTGACGTGGTGGCAGGGCCCACTGCTGTGCACACACAGGGGACATGGCTGGGCGCAACCGTGGCCATAGAAGCCAGGAGGGCAGACTAAGGGCGAAGGGAGAGGGTGGTCGGCAGCCTGGCCTGCCAGTCTGGCCACCCCCACCCCCAGCCCCCCGTGGTGATGGGAGGCCCCTCAGACACCCAGGGAGGCCCAGTCTGTCTTGCAGAGCCGAGCTGGGGTCAGGCCTGTCTCCACAGAGGCACCAGGCTGGACTTGGGGGTAGAATAGCTGGTGCAGGAGCAGGGCCGGTGGGAGAAAGCAGACAGGGCTTGACCGGAGCCTAGCCCCTCTCTCCAGGACTCGCCCAAGGGAGGTGGGTAGCGTTTAGCCTTACTCCTCTGGCACTGGGGTCCTTGGAAGCCGGGGGTGCACTCGCAGCTCCCATCCTGAGGGGAGCAGGAGCCCCCATTCTCGCAACTGCAGGACATGGAGCAGTTGGGGCCCCAGCGGCTGGGTGGACACGTGCTGTCACAGCGGATGCCTGCGGGCAGAAGTGGACTTGGCAATGGGGGAAGGGGGATGATGGGGGTGGGGAGAGGTGGGGAAGGGCAGGAGGAGATAGGAGAGGGTGGGAAGAGATGGGGGAGGGGGAGGAGAAGTAGGGGAGGGTGGAAGGAGATGAAAGGAGAGCAGGG